AGATGCCTTCCTGGACAGTCGCAACGGTCCCGCTTTTTGTCGTTTTGTTCCATGGACGTTGTTAGGTGGCGCTCTTCACGGCCGCCCCCCTGCTTGGCTAGTTAAGCAAGCTACTCAGGACGAACAAAGACCTGGTGCCTCATCTGCTTTAAGAGGTGCCTCCAACAGGGCGTATGGTGCAGTGCCCAGCAGGGGCTCAGCAAGTGTCTGTCAACTTGCTAAAGGGCCTGTCTGTGGGTACAAATAGTTCTTCTGTCTGAAGGCCCTGCTGAAGTTCCATTCAGTGTTTCAGGAAGGTGGCAGTACTGTCTTCCTAGCCATGGGCAGGCTTAGGAGGTGTCAAGCCCTTGAGGAAAAAAATATATGTGGTTGTCTTAAAGCCAATTCAGTGCAGCTCCTCACCAAAGCAGGGTCCCAACTGCAGGGGCCATGCGTTTCCTGCTGGGGCTTGAACCACAGACAGCAATGGCTCCCAAGCAGGTGACCTCCTCTGTGAAGGTCTCACTCCCTGCTTCCCACCCCATTTTCATCCACCTTTCTATGGACTGTACTTGAAATGATCAAAACCATGGATCCCCAATAGGACTGTGAATCCATTCCAATCTCATTGGCCCCAGAGGCCAATTGTTTCCTGAGCCCAGCCTACCTTTCTAGTATCTTATCTCCTAGCATGCTCCTAGCACACTCCTCTGTATACAGCGGGCCCCAGCCCCTCCCTGGGTCACTCTGCTCTTTGATTAAAGGCACAAGACAGTGTTCTCAAGCTTAGTATGGGCCTGTGGACCCTTCCCCTTTTCCATCACCTTCCTCTGGGCATGTCATGTCTCCAGACTTTTATTACTGCAGCCTAGGCCAAACGTCACATCACAGCCACCACACCCCTCTCCCTGGTCTCAGCTGACTGCCAGCTGCAAACTCCATGTCTGTTACTGAATTAGTAACCTGCCAGTGGGTACAAGGTGTGTCTCCTCCCATCTACCCATCCACACACCTCCAGGTGTTGAATTCAAGGAGAGAGTCTTAAAGTTGAAAGAAACTTCTAGTATCAAAAAGCAAAAAACTTTGGAAGACAGTTTGTTGAATGAAGGACCCAAAACAATAAAACTAGCGTGATTATATGGTCGGCGGGCACTTTAGGGCAGGGGAGCCTGATGCCCCTTTGTGACTTACCTCCTGACAGCCTCTTTCTGGCTTGGAGGGAAAAACAATGAGGCATGTGGCCCAATGCTGGATTTTCATGTTCTAGAAGAGCTGACGTGTGCAGTGAATGTGCACGCATGTGTGTGCAGTGCATGCATGCCCGTGTGCAGCATCCCAGGGCTCTCCCAGCCTGAGAGAGAGAGATTCAGAGATGGGGAGGAGTGGCTCTGTCCCTTGTCCTGGATGCATCTCCCCCACCAGTCCCAACATTCCACGCTTGGAAGAAGGGGCCAGGATTTCAACAGCATGGCTGACTTCTGTAGAAACGGATCAGGAAGGATCCACCTGGGAGACAAGATGTACCGTGACCTCATGCTTCCAACTTCAGCGTCGGCTGACTGCAGAACTGACCCTCACCTCGGGTCTGCTCTTGATGACTTGCACCTCCTCCTGTCACCCTGATCAATCCCAAATTCATGTTCTCCCGTCTATGGCCTCGTTTTAAATTTCTAAAGGAACTGCAAGCGTTGCACTTGGATTTTGTTGTTGTTGTTGGTGGTGGTGCCTCAGAAGATCAGCCCATTCATCTTCTTTTAAGGCTGAGAAAGGAGTCCAAGGAGATGAGTGCTGGTCCTTTTATTTTTTTCCTGGGCTTCCGACAAGTGCCTTTCTTGCTTGGGATCCTCTGTACAGCTGGGAGAAGCCCGGAACTGAGATCCTGACAGCTTGTGTTGAAATCACATGGTGTTTACTGTGCTGTGAGTTTATAAGAGCCTTGTTTCCATACTGACAGCAAACGCCATATGGAGAGAGAAAATCCTGTCAGAAGAACCCTTAAGGAGTCACAATATGGTACATGCAATCCCATAATTGCTTTTGGAAATGGGGAGGGGTGCCTTGCTCAAATCACAGAAGGGCTGCAGTGCTCTTTGCCATAACTAAATAAAACTGGAGTTTGACAAGGGTAATTTACTGTCACGCTGGGCTTGTGCTGGGGAGGTCCAGCTGATTGGGAAAGGAACGGAACGTTTGTTTTCCTCACCTTGGGGATCAGGTTGAGTGGGACACAGCGAGAATGCAGGCTGTGTCTGCAGGGCGTCCTGCTAACAGGTGCAAGCCACGGACCTGTCACCTGATTCGGCTCCCTCCTCCCCAGATTCCCTACTGGGGCTGATGGTAACACTCATCTAACTTGACATTTTATTGCTGTCACTTGGGATCCTGTCTGCTCATCTACCCCCCACCCCCTTTGCAACAGAATCCAAGCTCTCTGAGAGCTGAGACCTCATCCCATCCCCCGCCCCACCAAGCATTGCACACACTGAGGTGGGTTAAATGTTTGTCGGAGTGGCTGTGTGTGAACCATCCATGCATGGAAAGCTAGTTAATGCAATCGTCCTAGGCTAGTTTCAACCCCTAGACTGTTGGAGGAGGGGGCCAAGAGGGAGACTTGGAAGGTAGCTTATCCAGGAGAGAATGAGAAGTTTTTGAGCACCTTTTTATACACACTACAGTGAGAACTGGTAAATTCTTACAGACACAGGAGTCCTGCCTTTAGGCAGTTTACCCATGAAAGAAGTGGGCTGTAAAACTAGTCTGTACACCTGGTCACTTGCTCTTTCTGTTGCAAGAGATGAAAACCCAACACCAACTCGCTTTTAAGCTAAGACTCTGTTAGGTAAGGAAAGGTGCAGGCACCAGGCTGGCCTCGGCTCCAGGGGCTCCTGGGACATTCACAGTGCTGGGTTTCTCTCCTCTTCCCCACTCAGCTCCACCTTCCCTGCATCACGCGTCCAGGCTCATGCTGACTAGTGGGAGACAGTTGTGGTGGCTCTTGGTTGATGGGTCCTAAGGTCTTGCTGCCCCAGAGAGGAGCAAGTATCTTTTGCAGAAGTTCTAGCAGAAACCCTGGAAGGACTCCAGGTCCTACTTAGTCATGTGCCCTGAACCTGTCACTATTGCCAAGAGACAGAGGGTTCTGACTGGCTAGAACTGAGCCACGTCAGTCTCTGAACCTATAACTGTGGCAGAAACAGAGACCTCTTATTGTCTAGGACTGAGTCGTGTGCCCATCCTTGACCCTGTGTTGTGGTTGGGAGGCAAGGACTCCAGATAGCTAGGACTGAAGTCACATGCCAATTCCTGAGGTCGGGAGCAGTAGGCTCCCTTAGGACCTTGGACTGGATTGTTATGGACTCAGGGAAAGGAGGTTCCTTGAAGGAAGGGAGATGGAACAGACCAAAAACTCCAGATTCATGATGATAATCCGTGGTGTTTATTAAGCATTTCCCATGTGCCAGGCTCTGGTCTGAGTCTTTTCTGTGCCTTATCTTATTTAAGCCTCATGACCCAGAAAATAGGTATGATTACTGTGCCCAGTTTATAGATGAGAAAACTGAGGAATAAAAGTGTTAAGTCAGTTGCCCTAAGGCATGCAGGCAGTGAGTGGTGAGGCTGGAATGTGAATCCAGGTGGTTTAGCTCCAGAGCCCAAGCTCAGAGCCACTAAGCTCCCTATAAGCTTACCTTCAGTGGATAAATTCTTTGGGTATGAAAGTGCGTTGGCATGATGTTTGTGTTCTTATCTCCTTGTTGTGTTCCGTAACTCCAGATAAATTCTTTCTAAGGGGATGATTGCCCTTGCTCCCCCTCTACATTCAGCAAGGATATAGTCCTTCCTATCCTGGGAGCTCTCCTAAGTGAGGTCTAACTCACCCACTTCCTGGTTTCCCCGTGAAGTCACCTGACCATTCTGGGTGCAGCTGCAGAATCAAAGGGCCAATGTTCAGAGCTTGAGAGGGTACAAGCAACTTGTCTCAGTTGGTCTGTTGACTAGCTTTCTCACCAGAGAAACTTCCTGCAGGGGTTTCAGCATCATTGCCAGAGAGCCAAAAGGGACCTCCCATCTTACCTCCAACCTGCAGCTTCATTTTTCAGAGGAAGACAGGCCCAGAGAGGGCAAATGAATTGCTGACAGTCACATAGCAACTCATCAGCTAGAACTCTGGTTTCCAGGCTTAGAGTCTTGCATTGCATTTCCTCTTTAGAACTCTTTTCTCTACTGAGTAGCTGAGGGCTGGTCACTTCCTGTTCCCATGCCTCTAGCTCCTCAGCTGGAAAATGCAGGGTTTTCATAATCTGAAGCCTCCTAAGACTGGGCTTCGCTCCCTTTGGGCAAAGTGAAATTTCTTTTTACTCTATTCATTAGGATGGTTTGAATTATAAATAATTTTAAAATCTTTTCAAACTGCCCTAAACAAAGCTCTTATATGAGCTTTTCAGATGTGGTTTGCGTTGCAGGCATGGTTTGATCCAGAGATTCATGACATCACCAGGGCACCAACTCTACTTGTAATTTTCCCAGCTCTGACCTCCTCTGTGTGTCAGCCTTATGCTCACAGCAGCTTCCCTTGGAGTGTCAAGACCACTGCACCTGGCCTCACACCCTGTGCCCTAGCACCCAGAAGAGAGAGACAAAGTCTGTGGTTCATTCTGATTGCAAGTGGCTTGAGCTATATGCCTGTCACCCTTATCCAGTCACTGAAATGAGGGAATGTCATGCGCTGATTGGCCATCCAGGGCAGAGTCATAGTCCCCAGAACTGCTGGCACCTCCATACAGAATTAAGGGCAGCTGCAGGGGTGTGGGCTGGGGAGTAGAGGCTGGGCCCTCACTGGCGCCTTCCTCTACCCTGACCTTGCCCCTCTGAGCCTGCAGAGCCTGGACCTACAGAAGGGGTCCTGAGAGTTTGCTGCATCTTGCTCCATCCATCTGGGGCTCTGGATCCAGGCAGGGACTGATTGGGTGACCCTGCCTGGCCCTCTCCTGCGTCTCAACACATTTTTCTTTTCTTGTCTCCAGACAGAGATTACTGCAGTTTATGTGACAAGCAGCCAATTGGGAGGATGCTTTTTCGGCAGTTCTGTGAAACCAAACCTGGGCTGGAGTGTTACATTCAGTTCCTAGACTCAGTGGTAAGTCCTTGCTCTGGTCTGGGGTGGGAGCTGGGGGGACTCTGATCCTCTGTGGTCAGCAACCAGTTTTGCCCAAAGGAAAAGATGGACCACGTAGTTTAGAAGGATAAAGAGTAAAATTGTTGCTCAAGAAACAGTGCAGACTTTGAGAGTACAAACTTGTCCCCAGGTCTACACCTGCTGGGCGCCCGCAGGAGGGCCACCTCCCTCACTGGGCCTCGGTTGCTGCTACTTTAAAGTGAGGCCCCAACAGTTCTTTGGTTCTGGAATCCTGGATTATTATGCAGGGTAGTGCCTGGGAAGTTGAGCAGTTTTCCCAACACCTCAAGGTAGTTCCTGGATTCCATGACCCCTTCCCCTAGCTGAGAACCCATTTTCTAAAATTCCAAAGCTTGTGTTTCTGGACTTATTTACTGGCTGTTTCCCCACTAGAAGGCAAGCCTCCTGAGGCCAGGACCCTAGGCCTCCAGTTCACCCCTGCCTAGCATGGTTCCCAGCAGATATAGGCATTCAGTAAATGTGTGTGGAATAAACGTTTGTTGGTCATTTCAAGCCAATCTAACAGCTGCTGGCTCACTGGCTGCTGGCATGCACAGCCATGCTTGGCACCATGGCTTCTTCCTTCAGAGGTACTGGTCATTCATCTGTTTAGTACGTGCTGATTGACCTGTGTGGGCTTTCAGGACACGGTGTAGGAATACGCAGAAGTTTATCAGCGCTCGCTCAGGAAGGCACAGCAGCTGCTCAGGAGGGCACAGCACCTCCGCCTGGCTGACTCCCCTTTGGGTGTCTATTCAGAAAAGGTGGACAAGGAGTGGGGAGTCAAGGAGTGGAGGCCAGTCATGAAAGGAGTGGGGTCATCCAGAACCCCCTTCCCATGGCTGGGGGCCAAGATGCTAGTTCCCTGGAGGCTCTAATGCTGTCCCTGGCTACAGCCATCTGGACCTCAGTCTCTGGAGGTCAGCCTTGTGGGGTCCGAGTTCCTGTGTCTGCCTCAGGGTCTCAGTGTTAATTTTTAGATCTACAAGCCACACTGCCCACTGAACACACCCACCAGAAGTTACATGGGCCCCCTCAAATGACCATAATAAAAAGTCCCCCAGAACCCCAAAACGACCAGCGCCAATGTGCTGCCTATTCCAATGACTGGCACTGCACAGTCCCCCAGGCCAAGGCATTTGCATGTCTTCGTCTCCTCCCTCTCCCTCGTCCCTTCCCTAAGCCAGTCAAGGCCATGTGCTTGGACCCTTGACCTCTCTGAGACCAGCCTCCTCCCCTCCATGACCTCTGTCTTGGTCTCAGCGCAGGCTCTCAGTGTCTCATGGAAGTAATTACAGTAGTTCTCAACCTTGGCCGAACAGTAGAAACACCTGGGGAGCCTTAAAAAAAATACCAATTCATGTGCTGAAGCCCAGACTCACTAATTTGAATCTCTAGGGGTGGGATCTAGTATTTTCATAACTTTTTATTATGGAAAATTTCAAACTGTAAAAAGTAAAAGTAGACAGAATAGTATAATATAATAGTATAATTATCATATAATAGTATAATGACCCCTACTTCACCCTGCTTCAGCAACTATGAACTCATGGCCAGTCTTGTTTCACCCACATCCTCCCCTTGGTAGCATTTTTATAGCAGATCTCACATATATTACTTCATCTCTGAATACTTGAGTATAAATCTCTAAATAACAACTCTTTAACACAAAAAAATAGCCACAGCTAAAAAAAAAGGTAATTTTTTTGTATCATCAAATAATAGTGTTGAAATTTCTGATTGTCTCATACTTTTCATAAATGCATGTTTTGACAGTTTATAACCATCTTTGTTCACCCAGAAAAGGGTCCCATGGTCTAAATTCTGCTCTCTCACTGCCTTGTGTCATTAATAGTTTCCTCAGTATTGTAAATTGCTCATTGAATCTAGAGATGTGAACAGATTCAGTGTCCATTTGGGGTGGGGGAACGAACTTTATAAGCGGTTTCATGGTCTTCTGTCAGGTGACATGTAATATATCATATCCGCTTGTTTTTCACTTAGGGATGGCAGCAGCATTGGCAAAGGTGGGCCAAGGGCAGGGGGTGGTGGGCACAGTCAAGGCCATTGGCATCCCCCCTGTGGGAGGATCAGAGCAGACCAAGTCTTTCCATTCAACACATGACCTCAGCCAGGGTGCCTACTCTGCAGCAGCCAGAACTACCACAGATCCATTCTGTACACATTATTTGTAACAAGACAAACATCACATCCTGTTCAGTCACTGAAGAAATATGGGGAAAACATGTTTCAAAGAGATCAGCCCTATACCCTGTGTAAAAACGTCTGCCTATGAGATGGAAGCGGCTCTGTGCATGTGCAGGTCGAATCCTTGCAAGAAAATAGCAAGAGGTGACTTGGGACCACTTAAGATGAGTGAGATCCAAGACAGAGCAAGAGGTACCAGCGCTTACACCGGACATGATGAAAACAGAGTAGGCCTCCCGCTTGGGGCTCCAGCTGTCTTTCCAAACAAGAGGATCTCGGTAATCTAACAGGAAGCCAAGGAACACGGACTGGCTTGACTGTTGCAGATAAGAAATGTAGACAACAGACCTTGATCCAATGACTCCAGAAGATGATGTAGATCTCAACTGATTAATTAAAAAAAGTCAGAGACACCCTTAGTTGTACCTACCAAGATGGGCTGAAGAGTATTGTGGAGCCTGTGAACCAGAACTTATCTAAGAGGATCAAAATAAAACAAAACTCTGAATACAGATTTTAAAAATGCATTGATAGTCAATGCATAAATCTGCTGATTAGGGGTTGCAACATGGCAACATCCTAATTCTGTCATTCCTTCTTCATTTGCTGGCTGGGACGCACTTCGTTTTGATTGCCGTTTTGGTTAACCAGTGGTAAAACATGGAGGAATTGCTTGATTCTTTCCCTGTATTTATGCTTTCAAAGTAACAAATTGGTTGCCTAGCATCCTCCAATAGTAGTAGCCAATTAGTTTTTTATTGAAACATGGATGCAAAGCAGTCATCATCCATACTGATGGTCCGTGGTCTCTGCGTTGGGTGCTGGGAGCCCTTCAGGTTGCCTTCAGAGCCCTTGAGAGGACCCCGCAGTCACTGGCAACCTCCTAGCTATCTGGTAGGATGAGATGTCCTGGGCTCATCTTGTACATTTCCTGCCCTACACAAAGAGTCCCTCATTTCTCCAAGGAGCCTTGGTTTCTTTCACTGGGAAATGGTCCTTGAAGACCACAGTTTGGCACTAGGGGTGCTTACTACCAGTTGACTGGCCATTGGCATTTTTCAAATCTCCCAGGACTGTACTGTGTATCCAGGGTTGAGAGGCACTGACATTCCTGATAAAGTCCAAGTTCTAAGACTGAATGCTACATCTTCTCCCAACAGGCCCCTGCCTACCCTTTCATCTTTGACCTTCACCTAGGTCTTTCTTGAACCCTGTGTTCTGGCCCTGCCACCTGCTTCTGGTGGCTCTGACTTGCCAGGCTGGTTGGATTTGCTTGGCCCTGGCTCCTTCACTCTTGCCACCTGAAATGCTGCCCCCCTCCACGTCCCCTCTGCCTGGAAAATGCGTGTCATCCTCCTGTACTCTGTTCTCAGAAGCCCTTGCCAACCACTCTATCTTCCTGCTGTGCCCTCTGCTCTACCTGAGCTTCATTATTGTGCCATGCATCTCCTGAGAGTGCAGACTCCAGCCACACCGCCTAGACCATGCCGGTGGTGAGACCTTGGGCAGCTGCTTAACCCTCTCTGGCTCACGTCCTTGTCTCTCAGTGGGACCATAGTTGTATCTCATGATGGTAGAGGTGCTGAGAGCCGGGGTGAGTCCCCACTGCTGGGAGCAGTGTCCAGCACATCACAGGTGCCCAGTGAGTGCAGCCATGTGTCCCTACCCCCTCCTCTCACCAGAAGTCCCCTGGGGACACAGACATAGCTCATTATACCTGAATCCTCAGCCCACAATGCTGCACCTGACAGGAAGTTGATGCTCAATATTCATGCTCAGTGGGCGCTGGTGACTTGCCAGCATCACAGACTGAGTGGCGGAGCTGGGCCTGAACCCAGGTCCCAGGCCTCAGTTCAGTGCTCTTTTCCATACACCATGCTGCCTCTGAGGTGAGGTGGGTTCTGCCAGCCTGGGTCAGGCTTTCCGGGGTCTGCGGTGGACTCATTGTTTAACGTGGACCTTCCATGAATCCTTTTGCAAACTGATGCATCAGCCCCATCATGAGCCAGATTGGAATTTCTTAAAACAAGGTCCAGAAGTCTAAGAAGGCAAGCCTCCATGATTCTGGGGTAATCCCACCCCAGTAGCCAGGCTGGGAGAGCATTTGGTTGTCCATCTTGTTTGTGAACTGGCAGGTTTGGCCCATTACACATTTTGGGGGATCCACTTGAGTGGCCATCAGACTTGGGGACTGTTGACCAAGAATTTATCCAAGTCCCCAGCACAGCCCTCCCCACAGGCTTCTGGCGCGTTCACAGCCCCACGTGGCCTGGTCAGCCCTTAGCAGGCAGGCCGTAGGTGTTGGTTTCCTCTCTCCTAGGGTTGGAGAATGCCATGCCTCTGGCCCATGCTCCTAATCATTGCTTTATAGTCTTTCATTCATTTAACAAAAATACTCTCTACCAGGCACAGTTCTAGGCCCTTGGGATAAATCAGTGAATAAAAAGGACCAAGATCTTTGCTCTCTTGGTGTTTACATTCTGTCCAGGGAGAGTTAGGCCATAAACAACAAGCCTAATTAGTAAATGATACAGAATGTTAGAAGGGGATAAATGGGATGGAAAAAAAAAGACTCGAGCAGGTTAAGGAGGGCTGGGAGTATGGAAATGGAGAGGCTGGTTATAGTATTAAGTAGGGCGGCCAGCAGAGATGTCTTTGAAATGGCAACCTTTGAGAGTTAGAAGGAGGGAGGGAGTTCACCAGGTGAGGATGCGGTAGAGGAACTTTGCAGGCAGGGGAACAGCCAGCGCGAA